GAGGTGAAAAAGGAATGATATTAGCTTTTGAAGATCCTTTTGTATTTTTAAGTATGTGGATGATGTATTGAATTTCCATGGTATTTAGCCACCACTGGATATATAAAAAACAGGCATGTTTTGTTTTAAAATGTCAATATTAACATTAGGCTCGGTAGTTTATCTTTTGCCAATATTTAAACTTGGAAACAACTTTAAATATGCCAAAGAATTAAATTTCCTTTAAAGTTATTTTTAAAGTATAAGCGTGTGCTTATGCAAAAAACCACAGAAGTTTGAAAAAAATATTGCTCTCAAAAGAGGACCAGCAAAGAGTGATCTTTATCAAAGCCAAAGATACTTAGAACGGAGTTTTTATCAGTAATGTGTGGAAGGGACTGCTGTGAAAGGGAGTCCAGGATCCGTGTGCCTTTCCTGGCACCTAGAGGGAAAGCCAGGCATAAACAGGGACCAGACACTTCTGCTCTTCAGCTACAGCCTCTAAACATTTGACAAATGTGCTGAGCAATAGGCAAAGATACAGCTCACACCTGTAATGCTGCTCAAACAGAAACTCCACGTGACCAATAGACTTCTCACCCTTGATCTTAGGGAATCCATTTCATCAGCACTAATGGTGCCTTAACCAAGAACTCAGAACCTGTTAAGTTTCAGATTACAGGAATTTTTGTGAGCATGTGATGGCTCAGTGGCTATATCCTTGCCTTGCATGTGCTGGAATCCCACATGAGTGTTGGTTCATGTCCTGGTTGCTCCACTTCCCATCCAGCTCCCTGCTTCTGGCCTGGGAAAGCAGTCGAGGACGGCCCAAAGATTTGGGACCATGCACCTGTGTGGGATACCCAGAAGTTCCTGGATTCTGGCTTTGGATCGGCATAGCATCGGCCGTGGCGCTCACTTGGGGAGTGAATCATCAGACGGAAGATCTTCCTCTCTGTCTCTCCTCCTCTCTGTATCTGACTTTCCAATAAATAAATAAAAAAAAAAAAAAAGAAAGAAAAAGAAAAAAAAAAGGACATACAGATCTGAGCTGAAGTGCTCTTGTGCCCTCCTGGGATATGCTGTCTGCCACTTTATAACGCAGCAAGAAGACCCTTCCCAAGAGTTTCCAGAGTGGACCTCCTGTCCTCCAAAACTGTGAAAACAAATCCCCATTCTTTACAAATTACTCAGTTCACAGTATTCTATTAATAAAATCGCATAAAACAAGACAGCAAGAGAAAGCTCACCTAAATTTCAGCAAGCCTGGGTAGCAAAGATGAAAGCGGAGACTGGGGTGAGGGTAATGTGATTGGACAACAACCAAAGGGGAGGGCAAAGAGAACATTAATTATGTGATTTTAAGCCTATGAAACTGTGCAACCAATCACACTAACAAAAATAAATCCAAATGAGAAAAACAGGTTTGTGTTCAAAGAAACAAGGCCAGTAAGAAGAATGACTATTGAAGGGAAAGGGGTTGATCTCTGACGTTCTGGCAATACAAACCATATTGTGGTGCACACACATTATGAAGCAGAAAATCGTAGTACGCTTTCTTCTGTTTTGTTCTCTTGCCTAACGAAACGGTGGGAGGCGGGGGAAGGACTTGTATTCTCAACTTGCTAGTGATCATATTATATATGACTTTGCAATGACCGATAAGAACTCATCCTATAAAGAAATTAACCTTGAGAACATTCGCTTAGAACAAAAGCAGATCTAAAGTAACAGAATCACCAGCTCCTAACTCAAGTTATGATCCAAAATTTAGAGGAACTGTTACTATCGGCACCCCATATCTACATCTATGGATTCGAAATATCCACGAATTGATATTTCTGGGAAAAAAACCTTTCTGTTCTAAACTCGTGGACTTTTCTAAACTGTTACTATTCCCTAAACACAGTCTAACAAGTAGTCATGTAGCATTTACACTGCATTATGTATTTTTTTTTAAATGCAAAGGACTGAAGTACTCCAGCGCATGTATGAGATGTATGTAAGAGACCTGAACATCCTTCAGGTATTCGTGGGAGGGGAAAAAGTATTTTGGAACCAATACCTCAGATACTTAGTGAAGATTTCTGCTTTTTTTTTTAGCCTCTCATCAGCTAACCATCAATAAGCCTTTTGGTCTCTGCCACTTTATAGACTCAAGACACCGACATTCTTTCGCTCAATAATACTGGGGGTAAACTACAGACAATAATGTACTGCAGTTCTGTATTTCAGGAAAACTAGAATGTTTTCACTACATAGAAAACAGTAAATGCTTGGGGAGAGATGCCTCATGATTTGAACATTACACACTGTGTACATGTATTAAAATGCCCCCATGCTATTCCAGAAAGTTTTTAGGTGTCAAATAACAATTCAATGTATGTACCCCAAAATGAAAAACTTAATACAAAAATTCATTTCCATTTTTCTCCATTTATTCCATTTCCAAAAGCTACAGACTGTTATATTTGAAGTTAAAAGTATCTTACCTCATTCAAAGGATGAATCGCCCAACTACTTCTTTTAAAAATTTTTACTTATCTGGAAAGCAAATATGCAAAGGGATGGAAGACAGATATCTTCCGACTACTGGTTTACTCTCCATATGGGCGCAAAGACTAGAGCTGAGCTGAGCTCAAACTAGGAGTCAGGACCTTCTTCTGGCCTTCTATGTAGGTGCAGGCGCCCAAGCACTTGGGCCATCCTCTGATGCTTTCCCATGTCATTAGCAGGGAGCTGGACAGGAAGTGGAGTAGTCCAGGACTCAAACAAGCACTCACACAGGATACCAGTACTGCAGGCAGCAATTGTACTCACTATGCCACAGCACCAGTCCTCAAACCATTTCCTAACATACATCATCTAGTAAATCATACACTAAAAATGAACTATAGCCAAAACAAGCTTACACAGCATAATTTGAATGTCCTTGGAATATCAAATTAGTTGCCACCTAAAGGCGAAACAGAATAAACTAGGGGTAAAATGTTTAGACTACCTGCGAAGTTTTTCTCTTACATCAATTTCTCCATCTGCAAAATGCAGATTACACTTTGTTCCTACAGGAGGCTTACAGAAGGTTTTAAAATGCTTTTCTAATACTCAGGAAACATTGGGTGTGCTTATTGTAACTTGGCATTCAACTTTTTACATTGTAATAGTCAACTTACTCAGTTTGCTTTTTTTTTTTTTTTAAGATCACAGAAGGGACAACTCTTTCTGTAAAGGCAAGCTGGTCTTTGTTCTAACTACATCACACACAAAAATAGCCTGAAATATCATGTAAACAATGGTAGCTCTGTTTCAATATAACTTTACCAAATTCAAAACTGCTTTCCCTTCATCTTTATGTTAGAAAATATTCCTCTTTTGATTTTTCAGCCATCCTAAGATGTAACAAATATATTTTGGTGGTAGGCCATACATAAATGGCAATTACAGAGGAGAAACAAATCTTCCATCCACTGGTTCACTCCCGAAATGGGTGCAACAGCCAGTTCTAAATCTGAAGCCAGGAACCAGAAGCTTCTTTGTAGCTCTGCCATATGGGTACAGGGGCCCAGGGACTTGAGCCATTCTCCACTGGATCAGCAGTGGAGCAGTTGGCACTCAAAACTGGCACCCATATGGGAAGCTGGCGTTATAGGCTGAAGTCCAGCTTACTACACTATGGGATTGGCACCTGGACTCATGATAAAAATTTAGCATTTAAGCTAGTCTTCAGAGATGCCATCTCTTTCAATAGGTAACATGTTCATTGTTGGGGTTTTGTTTGTTTGTTTGGTAACATGTTCATTGTTGGGTTTTTTTTTTTTTTCTTCACTCCAGGTAGAAACTTGGTTCTAGGAGGTAAGCCTAAACAGATCTATTGTAAAATATAACTGTCAGAAAAAAAATTTTAAGGCAAATACTTTACCCAAAACACAAAACAGACACAAGACAAAACATAGTGTTCTGATATATACACCTTAGTTGGTTCTAAACATGGTAGATCTGAAGACCAGATAAGTTTTGATGCAACAGTCTAGTGGCTAAATCCTCTCTTTGCTTCTGCCAGGATCACATATGGACACCAGTTCGAGTCCTGGCTGCTCCATTTCCCTTTTAGTTCCCTGCTTGTAGCCTGGGAAATCAGTAGAGGATGTCCCAAAGTCTTGGGACCTTGTACCCATGTGGGAATCTCAGAAAAAACTCTTGACTTCTGGTTTCCAATTAAGTTAGCTCTGGCTGTTGTTGGGGAATGAATCAGCAGATGGAAGATCTTTCTCTTTCTCTCTGTAAATTTACCTTTCCAAAAATAAGTCTTTTAAGAAAGAAAAGCAAGCAGAGATCCCCTATATCAGAGCAAGCAACACAGAAAATAAGTAACACAGATAATGATTAAGGAAGAAACAAAAGGAATATTTATAAGGAATATTAGTAAGTCCTATGTTAGAGTAATAGCAATTAACATGAATATGGTATTAGTACTAGTTCTTGAATGTGATACAAGAACAGCATTTCTCTCAAGCATTCTTCTGGCAAGAATTATCAGTACTATATACCTTGAAGTCAACATAATGAAAAGTCAAAGGAAAGAAAGCAATACTCTTGACGTTTAGTTTATCTCTCAGAATAAGAGTGATTCAACTCAGCAAAATCCCAAACCAAATAGGAGTGGAGGGCAGGAATCCAAAAGAGGAATTAAAAAGGAATTAGCACAGTAAAACATTGGGAGCGAAAATAAGCTTATAAATTCGAAGGTCTTAAAAAGAAATGATCTTGGCGGCATACAGGTACTTGCAAAAAGACAAACAAAGGAAGAAATTAGCAGCTTGACTTGACAAAAGAGGAGAACAATGTCACATTTCTTTGTCAGACTCAGATGTTCACCTTATGGTTTCAACTCTTCATGAACAGGCCTGGAAATGAGAGGTAGCTGCAGTTCCACTAGGGTGTTAGCATCCTAAAATACTCTGCCCACGTGGCAAGAGTACTCCTGGAAAACACTCGGATCTCCCGGCATCCACATTTCTGTCACTGCCTATTTTCTAGTTCTTTGTCCTGACACAGTAAGGCTTTCCAGGAAATTTTCCACTAATATTTCACCATACATTTTATGTGCAATCTATGGTACATAGATCAACATCTCAAACAGTCCTCTCGACTCCAGGAGTTTACCACCTAAGTCTCAAAACCCAGGCTGGCTCTTACTACATACAGCCATAGCAGTTTGTCTGAGCGCATCATGCACCTGATACCTCTTCTTACCTATGTTATTCTGTACTACCTCACTAGACAACTAGTGCTCAAAGGCGGAAACTCAGGGGTTTCTAAAGCCCAAGGTAGAGAAGTTTCATGGCAAAAAAAAATGTCTACAACTCTCCTCTGCATCAGGGTTGGCAAAGGTTTAGGAAATTCACTCGATACTATATAAACCACTAAAATAAAGAAGCACCATAAAGGAACAAGCAATGCCAATGAAATTGTTAGATAAATGATACAAGAGGAAATATTTGTCTTCTATAAAAAAATGATCAACTCCAAAAGCACACTTGGTTTTTAATACCAGCTAAAATTTTCTCCAATTGTGTGGGTTACACACTACGTAAAATCAGACAAGTATCACTGTGTAAATCCACTAGCAGCCAATGTAGTTTTTAATTAAAACATAAGATAGAAAAGAAAGCACTAATTGACTTTATTAACCCTACTCATAATACTGAATACAAACGTAAAATTAAGTGGTGATGTTTAGTTTTTTACAAAACATAGCAGAGTCTCTTAAAACATGTGGGAAGATATGTCATAAGGGGTGGAACTAAGAAATCAAGTTTAAAAACAAAAATATACTCCACTGGTTTCTTTCTGCACAGCCAAATGTGGCCTACAGAATTCATGATAGTCCTATTAACAGCACTTCCTTCTGACTATGTATTACTCTCCTGGTAACAATAGCATTCAATAGCATTAACATCACCTAAGCTATCACAGGTCTTCTAATTGCTGGCAGATCTATATACTATGGGTTTGAAGAAATTCATCACATCTACAGTTGGCCTGCAGGCTTCACATGCCCAGGGATTCAACCATCTGAGGATGGGGAGGAGAAAGGGGAATCCAGAAAGCACAACTTGAATTTGCTACACATTAAGTACCCAACCAACGCACACAGAACACCAGTACCTGCCACAGCCCCCCAACCATCCCACAGGATTCTCAGTTTCCTTCCAGTACTGAATTAAACACTTCTTGGCTCACATCGAGTTCAACCAGTTTGCGCGGTATGCGGTCAGGCTTGTCACAGTCACCCTTGCACAGAACATACGACTTTTTTCTTGCCATTATTTCCTAAACAATATAGTATTAACAACTACTTGCACAGCATTTCATTGTTTCAGACACTGTAAGTAATACAGGGATAACTCAAAATGTACAAGATTGTATAGGATATATTCATATGCAAATATTATTCCACTGATATCAAGCACCTGAGCACCCTCAGACCGCAGAATCCACAGGAAGTCCTGGGACCAGGTCTCTTCAGGACAATAAAAGTCACCTGTAATTGAGCTTCCAATGTAAAATTCAAAAATCAAAAAGACTATGATATTCTCAGAATCCAAAGATCAGAAAAGTCCTACCTTCCTATCTTTTACACATTTTAAGAAACTAATTTAATGACACTAATGTAGAAATCTGTCCTGTATTTTGACATCAGTAAGATTATAACATTTAAGTGATGAGCCTTTAACTTACACATTTTAAAACCAAAAGGGACACATCTTGGACACCTTAAAATGTGCAATACAGTTCTAAGCAGAAACTGTTACTGTTTCTGCTTATATTAAAAGTGCTGGTGACAATTCAATATGCCTGCTCACAAAATTTCTTCACATACGTACACAACTATAGCTCTCTACAACTGCAACAAGATTATAAATGTTTAAAGTGCTTGAAGTTTGCACTGTAGGACAGAGTCAACGAGTGGTCATCTGCCACCTTTGCAGCAGCTCAGATGAGAACAAGTCACAGAAATGCTGCTACTTTCTAGAATGTGGCATTTGTGGAGCTGGAGCGCCCTCTATGGGTAAGGAAGAGGACACACTCATTAGCTGTCCTGCATGCATTTTCTCATTGATTCGCAGTTCACATCCATCCTGAAGCATTCGAACTGCTATTCGAGCGATGTTCTTAGAGTCATCAAGACCACTGTGAGGCCTCCCGTCATAATCCATTCCTAATTTTTCAAGCATCATTGTCAGTTTTGTTTGGCTTCTAGGAACCTGGAAAATAAATAGCTTAGTAAATAATTCTTTAGTGTCAATGTAAGCCACAGTTGGAAAATTAGAAACTGAAAAAAGAACAAAAATCGAACAAAATTAAGCAAAAGGTAGTTTTCCTGGTCAAGTGAGGGGAATACTCAAATTCTCTGCTTTCAAGAGTTTCAGCTGAAAATATAAAGGCAATCCTCAGACATCTAACACCTTTGTACTTTTAGTAATTTAACAAATTGCTTATTAAAGGAAGTACAATATTGTATGTGGCCTCTGAAATGGAAGTTATCTATTTTTTAATTAATTTTTTAAAAGAAAGAAGGACAGGCGCCAGTGTTGGGGTACAGCAGGTTAAATTGTCACTTGCAGTGCCAACTTCCCGAATTGGGAACCATGGGTTAAGCTGTAGCTGCTCTGCAACTAGTACATCTCCCTGCTAAAGTGCCTGGGAGGCTAGTCCAGGTTGTAGAACCTGTTGGCACGTGTGATCTGGGTCTGGGCAATCCATAGCATACAATGGCATGAATAAGAGCCAGGACAGGGTGCAGACCAGGCCAGGATGGACTGCAACGTCCACCAGTTCACCTGAGGGCCAGGCTGTGCTAGGCTACTGTAACCACTGGCAAGAGCTGCCACAGTTCACCTGGCAAGTGCAAGATCTGGGGCTTGGAACATGCCTGGCAGGAGAACACTGGGCACTCCTCTGCTAGGCTGCACCTATCATTGGTGAATTGAACAACAAAGGCTGGGGGTGGGCCAGACTGGACAGTGTGGCAGGATCTGCTGGCATAAATGAGGTCTGGAGGGTAGGTCAGGCTAAGCCAAGATGCAGCATTAATAGTTCTGCATGAGAGCCAGATGGGATGTAGGCTGGACCAGGCTAGCCTGCAGCAGAAGCTAGTATGTGTACAAACCAGGCTGGGAGTGGGCCTGGTGGGGGTTACTGGGAGTTGTACCAACTAGCATGCATGAAGACCGGGTCTGTGGCATGCTGGCTGGGCTGGGCCATAACATCCATCCATTTGTGTGAGCTAGGACTCAGGTAGAATTGACCAAGCTGCATCCATCAATACATGCAGACTGACCTGACCCTGTACTAGCTGGCAAGTCTGAGGTCACCCCAGTCAAGGTTTCCTCACAGACACCCCGAAAGGACCACTGGACTCAGACCCCAGCCAAAGGGAAAAAAATCACATGATGTGCGGTCTGATCTTACAGTACATGTATTGGGACTGGGCCACTTCAGTTGCTGATGCCTGTGCAGTGGACAGCACATCCAGACGCACAAAGGGGACATGACAGCCAGTTCATGTAGGACAGGGAATGTCAACTGCTTCATCAGAGGATGGAAAGCACAGAGATTGGTCAATTCTCATAGCCAAGCTTTGTGGCATGTTCCTGAGCCAGTGGATACACTAAGGTGGATTTTGTCAACCTGGAAAGGTTTTTTTCAATCCTACAGCAATGAAACTAACATCTCAGGGCTAATGAAATACTTAAGTAACACCCTCAGAACAATTTTTTCTGCAGTCAAAGGACTGTCCTCCCATCCCTGGGTGCTGATGTAACTTGACAGCAAGGAGTAGCCCATCCCCCTTCTCCTTTGTGCACACAGGAGAAAGAAATGCTGAAATGTGTCCTACCCATCTTCCTCCATACCTGACTCTCCCCACTCTAATCAGAGATCCACATAGGCATGCATTTATTTCAACTATGTAAACAATAGTAAAAGTAAATTTTTAAAAAAATTAAAAAGGAAAGAAAAAGTGCCTGGAAAAGCAACAGAAGATGGATCAAGCATCTGGTCCCCTCTCAACCATGCAGAAGATGCAGATGGAGTTCTTGGCTCCTGGCTTCAGCTTGGTCTAGTCCTGGCTGTTGTGAGGAGTGGGCTGGCTATTGGATGGAAGACCCTTCTCCGTGTCACTCTTTCAACTGACTTAAAAAAAAAAAAGTAGAGACACAGAAAGACACAGAAAAAATCTAGGTTGGACCGGTCTGAAACCAGAAGCCAAGAACTCAACCTGGGTCTCCCAGGTGGATGGGAAAAGGACCCAACTACTTGAGCCGTTAACATAAATCTTTTAAGCGGGACATAACAAGGAAGCTGGAAGCAGAAGTAGAGCTGGACCTCAAACCCTGGCACTTCAACATGGGATATGGGAATCCCAAGTGGTACTTCAACTCCTGAACTGACACCAACACTAAGATCTATTTTTTTTTCCTTTTTAAGATTTATTTACTTTTATTGGAAAGTCAGAGACACAGAAAGGAAGATCTTCTGTCCGCTGATTCACTACCCCAGTGACCGCAACCTCCAGAGCTGCACCGATCCGAAGCCAGGAGCCTGGAGCCTCCTCTGTGTCTCCCATGTGGGTGCAAGGTCCCAAGGCTTTGGGCCGACCTTGACTGCTTTCCCAGGCCACAAGCAGGGAGCTGGATGGGAAGCGGGGCTGCTGGGATTAGAACAGGCATCCATATGGGATCCTGAAACGTTCAAGGCAAGGACTTTAGCCTCTGGGCTACTGGGCCAGGCCCAGGATGTAACTTTTCAAAAATAAACTAATTAATCTATGTGGCATTTTTCTGTAACTAACTCCTTAGACACAAAGAATAATGCCTTTGTAGATGATTAAAAATAATGAAGATTGATGATGAATGGTGACATTGTGTGACTGTGTTTTAAACATTTAAAAACTTGCTCCATAGGCCTGGTGCGATAGGCTAGTGGTTAAATCCTCGTCTGGCATGAACCAGAACCTCGTATGGGCACCAGTTCGTGTCCCGGTTGCTCCATTCTCATCCAGTTCCCTGTCTGTGGCCTGGGAAAGCACTAGAAGATAGCCCAAAGCCTTAACACCCTGCACCTATGTGAGAGACCCAGAAGACACTTCTCCTTCCTCCTTTCCTATCTTTAAAAAAAAGAGTGAAGCGATTTAACAACCTAATAGTAAGGAAGCCCATAAAATTCAGCACAAATTTAAACACAAAGAACAGAGGTAGGACAATTAGCAGTTTCTAAACAAAACAAAACAAAAACTGGGTGCCAAAATGGAGACGGAATGTACAGAAGAGATTATTAATTAACTGCAAATAAGTGAACCTTATTTTGACACCAATCAAATACATTAAGGCTCTGTGACTAAATTAAGGAATTACTATTATTATTTTAGATGTGATACTGATACGGTATTTCTGCTTTTGAAAAAAAATACTTAAATGCATTTTTTTTTTTTACAATATGCAGGCATTTAGCCTAGCAATGCAGATGCCCACATCCCGCATGGGAGTTCCTGGTTCAACACCCAGAGTTCTAGCTCCTGACTCCAATTCCCTGCCGATGCTGACCCTAGGAGGCAACAGTGATAGATGAAGTAACTGGGCTCCTACCATCCATTTGGGAAACCTGGATTCATCTCTTCAAATCTGGGAGATATACTAAGATATATTTAGAGATTACAAGACATAGTGTCTATATTCTGTAGGAAAAAGAAAACACAGACAAAGCAAGGTTGGTCACAGGGATGTGATGTTCAGTCATACAGGCTCATTAAATATATGTTTGGTATTTTTTGGATTGTGGAGAAAGCTAACCCTCTGCCTGCTAGTGCCAGCATCACACGTGGGAGCTTGTTCAAGTCCTGGCTGCTCCATTTCTGATCCAGTTTTCTATCACAGCGTATGAAGAGCAGCAGAAGGTGACCCAGGTCCATGCACCCCCACTGGGAGACCTGGAAGAAGCTCCTGGTTCCCAGCTTCAGATCAGCTCAACCCTGGCCACTGTGGTCATTGGGGAGTGAACCGGCAGATGAAAGAGCCCTCTTTCTACTTCTTGATTTCTTTTTTTTTTTTAAAAAAAAAGATTTATTTTTATTGGAAAGGTGGATATACAGAGAGGAGAGACAGAGAGGAAGATTTTCCATCTGATGGTTCACTTCCCAAGTGAGCGCAACGGGCCGATACTATGCCCATCCGAAGCCAGGAGCCTCTTCTGGGTCTCCCACACAGGTGTAGGGTCCCAAAGCTTTGGGCCGTCCTCAACTGCTTTCCCGGGCCACAGACAGGGAGCTGGAAGGGAAGCGGGGCTGCCGGGATTAGAACCGGTGCCCATATGGGATCCCGGGCGTGCAAGGGGAGGACCTTAACCACTACGCCACCGCGCCGGGCCACTACTTCTTGATTTCTAAGAAAAAAAAATAAACCTGCATTTCAAATAAACAAATCCTTAAAACAAAAGAAATGTTTCTCTTAAGAACAAAAAGTGGAAATAAAACAACAAAAAAATGGAGTGGGGGAGCTATCAAACATAAAGAATCGGTATCCAAATTAAAGACTTACAAACTAACAATGGACCACCCATTTTTTTTTTTTAAGAAAGAGATTAAAAATGAGACTTCACAGAAAAAAGTCCGGGGGTCTAATGAACACTGTATTCGACCTCCTGGGTAATCAGGTAAATGCAGGCTAGAACCTTGCTAAAATTGCATTCCACATCTACCAGCTACATAAACAATGAACATATGCGGCAATGCAACACAGTGCCAAAGACATGTCACAACCAAAAAGTCATATCCTGCCGATCAAAGTGTAACATGGTACACATGGTACAAACCATTTGGAAAACCATCTGAATTACAAATCTCAGGACCTCGCTGATGCCCCAGGCTCAGACCCTAGAGAAATGAGTGCATAAAGGCACCAGAGGTCATGTCCAAGAATGCTTATAGCAGCACTGTTTATAAAAGCTCAACAGTAAAAGCAACCCAAAAGGTCAGCTAAAGTAGGACAGATAAACAAACCAGCATATTCACATAGTAGGGATCTACAGGGGATTAAACTGAAGAAACTGCAGTAACATTCACAACAGGAATGGATCCCAAGCATAATACCAAGGAAAAAGGCAATACAATATAGCCAGTGTCATGCTAACTGCACCACCTTCACAAACAAAACTACACCACATGAGGATATGTATAAAAATATTAAAGCTGCAAGGAGAAATAAGAATATGAGTACCATGTTGGCATGAAAAGGAAAGGCGTTTAGCTGGACAGAAATTAGAACGGAATTCACTTTGAATTAATCTCCTATTACTTTGCTGCATGCAGAAAATTTTTTTAAATGTTCAATAATTTTTTAAGTAAAGCTTTTCACATGAAAATACCTTAGAACATGCTTAACTGAAATTATTAAGGGGCAAGAAGATGACACAGAATCTAGCACTTGATACAAAAGGAAAGGAAATGCCCTAGGACAATTTTAGAAGAGGTCTGAATAGCTCAGAAAGACACTATCAAAGCCTCTAGGAATACAGTATCCGGGGAAGTAAAAGGAAAACAGAGCAACTAACAAGCGATCTGAGTGTGGAGTGTGCTGTGCTGAGTACAGCAGTTGTTTTCAGTCTAAATGGAGAGCAGCAGTGGTACACAGGGGAAAAGACCTCTGTGACGCCCTGCAGCACAGTGTCTGGGTCCACACTTCCAATCCAACTGCCTGCTAACACAACTAGGAGGCAGCAGACAACAGAATCCACAAGAGACGTCAATGGAATTCCCAGCTGCTCCCTTAGGCCTAGCCTTGCCCTATCCCAGCCCAGACAGGCATTTAGAAAATGAATTAGCAATGGGAGTACTTTGCCTCTTTCAAATATATAAATCTAGTAAGAAAAAAAGTAATTTGTAAATCTAGGGAAAGCTGTGAATACCATACTCAGCAATGAAGACTAACAAGGTGATATAATTGCATTGTACAGATAGAGGAAAGGGAAAGATGCCAAAGAGATGACAAAATAGAGCTAAAGTTTCATCTTCCACTGCAGAAATTCAACAGGGGCTGGCATGCTTGCAAAGCATAATTCTCCACCTGCAAGCACGGGCATCCATATGGCAACCATACAGCAACCACATGGGTGCTGATTTGTGTCCCAGCTGTTCACTTCTGATCCAGCTCCCTGCTTATGGCCTGGGAAGAGCAGGAGAGAATGGCCCAAGTCCTTGGGTCCCTGCACCCACATCAGAGGCCAGGAAGAAACTCCTAATTCCCAGCTTTGGATCAGCTCAGCTCAGCTCAGCTCTGGCTGCTGCAGCCACTGAGGGAGTAACCCAGTAGAGGGAAGATTCCATTCTCTCTGTTAAAATTTGTTTTTCAAATAAAAAAAATAAAGCTTAAAATATAACTTCAACAGATATTTCAAACAGAAAATTCAAGAAAGTACAAATGTACAATTTGGAAACATAAAAATGAGAAGAAACAGCTTTAAAATAATTCAGAGCGCTTGCCACAGAACAGGATCCTGTTCTGGCAAGGGCTGTGGCAGGAAATTGCCATGTGCTGTAAGTGATGTATTCTTAAAAATTTAGACTGCACACCCATATGAATTTTAATAAAAAGAAAGGAAAACTAAAATTCAGTGGGAGCACTTGCTCTGCAGCAATAATCACACTTACTAAGCCTACAGTTTTAAACCACTGTCACTTATATAGAGCTAACCTGTTTCCAAAAATACATTCAGGAGGCTGGTATTGTGGCGTAGTGCGTAGTATCACCTGTGATACTAGCATCCCATTTAGGCCCTTGTTCAAATACTTAGCTGCTTCACTTCTGACCCTGTTCTCTGATAATGGCCTGGGAATGTAGTGGAAATTGATCTAAGTACTTGGTCCCTACCACCACCCATGTGTGAGACCCAGATAAAGCTCCTGGCTTGGTTGGCTCAGTCACCTGGGGGATTAAACAAGCAAGTAGAAGATTCCCCTCTTTCTAACTCTTGAAAATAAATAAGATTTTAAAAGTATACGCAGGTAACCTATTCTTTTAAAACTTAACAAGTCAAACAAGAAAAAAATGTTTATATTTTGATCATGAACTAATCTGGAACTTGAAAAAAACTATAGCCTTTTCCTGTAAAATCCATCTAGAAAAAATAAAACTTAGTATACTCCCAAAATAAAACAAAAGTATCAACAGTAGCAGTATAATCAGTAATCATGGAAATTTTACCTTGTAGAAGTTTCCATATGACTTTCGAATATTGATCCACTTTTTAGCAAAAGGAGGGTATTTCATCCTGCTGAGTTGGCACTGAATGTTCAAGAACTTACTCATATCCCATGAACTTATACATCAAAACAGGGGGAAAAATAGATAAAATAAATGTAATATCATTCTTACAAATTAGTGTTTTAAGTCATTCCATCTTCAAAAAGCTTACATACAAGTATATGTCAACTCTCCTCATATCCATATGAAACACTGAGTTTAGAAAAGTAATTTCACTCCAAGAAAACATGAATTTATAAGTAAACTTCAAATAGAAAAAAAGATATCAAATTTGTTTTCAAATATGAATTCTTCTTAGGTCTATTTTGATTGCTTTTATGGCTTTGATTACCTGAACAGATTTCTATCTTACTGAATATTTTTTCATAATTCTGATATAAATCTAAGTTGTATTTAATAACATACTTATACTGGCACATTCTTTGAGGGTGCTTTGAAGTAAACCAAAAAACAAAAATAAATCAAAGAAAAAAACATGAAGACAAAAGTAGCTGTTAGCAAGTGGTTAAAACAAACTTTCTCTTCTACAGCACACTTTTTACAACTCCCATGAACTTACCACAGTTATCTTAACACTGTGTATTGCAGAAACCGTACTGATTCATACGTGGCCCTTCCAGGCCAGGAGAACCACAGTAATAGCAGGAGAAATTAGTCTTCAGGAGAAATAAAAACACAATCCACTTAGCTGCCACTAACAAAAGGAACATTTTCAAGTGAATTCGAGCTGCCTACAGGCACTGTCCAAATTGTTTCTGAAGCAACAGATCTGTTTTTGTTAATGCCTTGTTTTAAAATAGCAAAGGCTTTGAATGATCTGCCCCAGAACGCCAGGTTTTCACAGAACTGCACTCCCTGTGATATGACACAAACACCTGTGTACTTGATCAGGAATACTGCTCATTCACATTTAAAATCAATATAATAGATTTCTTAAAAAGCCCATCAATACTTTTCTAATTTTCTATTTTCAAACCAAACCTTGAAGAGAATAAATTCCAATACCTTCTCCTATAGCACATAAGGATTTCTAAATCCTCTATGTTGGTGATGTCTCAGTTTTAGATTATAATCTGCCTGGAGATTGAAATAAAACTTTGTTCTTCAACATTAATGGCTTTGTAGCACAAGAGTTGCCCTGGCACAATGCCTGTGATTTTGCTTTTAATCTTTACGATCCCATTTAGTTTTATACTTAACAAATGCTTTTGGAGTATATGCTTTGAGCTCAGCATTATGTTAAACATGGAAATCATCAGGTAGTTTAAAGTCCATACTCTGAAACAACTTTCTAGTTTCCTCACAAAAATAAATCTTCTAAACATAATGATTAGATATCAGAATACATAGCCAACTGTCAACATAAATATTGCATATCATAGAGGTTATAAGACTTCAAGAGAAAAAAAGATCATGCGAGCAGTGTGATAAAATGCAGGCAGCCCTTGAGCAATGACAGTTAGGGAAGTGTCTCTCCAGCAGAGAAAGCAGGATCTCGAGCAATGTACAGAAAAAGGATAAACCATGTGAACACAGGTCAGCCTGCCTCCAGCAAAACGGAATAATGGCAAGTGGATTAGCCTACACAGCTAGCGTGGGATGAGAGGAGAGAATCCTGAGTGCCAAGCTGAAAACTTCTTTAAGCAAATTTTTAGGTGAATATCAGCTTAATTTCACACATGAATATGTTAATAGTTCTGGATTAGACTCTCAGTGCTTTCCCTCTTTTCTTTGATTCTAAGATTAAAATGCAAGCAGGAACAAGAATGTGAAAGGAAAACAGTATTTCCCTGAGGGCAACCTCAGACTCTTAAATAAAACTTCTGTGGATATTCTGAAAGTTAATTAGCAAGGACATCTTTAGTCTTACAAAGTAGACTTAAAAGATCACTTTCCTAAATACTTACCCATCTGTTAAAATGCAGTATTTATACTTTGTTCCTAATTCCTTTGATTTCATCCAGTCAATTACTTTTCTTAGTACCTGAGGGAAAGTGTCAGCTTTGTCTACTTGATCCTGAGGATATCAAAGCAACAAACATCAAAATCAGAGGACCCACATGGAGTCATACAATATACTGAAACATAAGTTGAGCAAAGACCCTGGCATGATGGCTCAGTGACTAAATCCTTGCCTTGTAAGCAACGGGATCCATATGGGCGTCATTTTATGTCCTGGATGCTCCACTTCCTGTCCAGCTTCCTGCTTGCAGCCTGGGAAAGCAGTAGAGGATGGTCCAAAGCCTTGGAACCCTGCACCCACATGGGAGGACTGGAAGAAGCTCCTGGTTTTGGATCAGCTCAGCTCCAGCTTTGTGGTCATTTGGGAGTAAACCAGACAATGGAAGATCTTTCTCTCTCTGTATCTCCTTTTCTCTGTAAATCTACCTTTCCAATAGAAATAAATCTTTTAAAAAAAAATCAACTGAGCAAAGCTTATCTGTATAATGTCTTCTTCCTCTCCATTGGCTTAGCACTACCTAGTTTGTTTTAAGGAAAATTTAAAATTACTTAAAGCAAAGTATTAAGAACTGTTGTAATTGTTGTATATAAATATAATCCTTCCATAATTAAGAATCAAGATTATTCCCAGTAATTCTTTTTTTACTTGCCTCAACCAAGGAGGTTACTGACATCCGGAACGGAAGCAGGAGTCTCCCTTGGCTGCAAGCCAGAATCCCTTAAGTGACCTGCCCAGCTCAAGTCTCATACCTTTCCACCACACCCTTCACACCACACTATTTGCTGCTGCCAGACCAATCCTCCTAAAACCCAAGCAAGACTCATCTTATCACTCACATAAAGGCTGTGCACACTCTCCAGGTCTTTTAAAGAACAAAAACACACACAAGCCTTTAGCATCTGTGCTCTCTTCCTGCCACAATCATTTTCTTACAGTGTCGCCTGTAACTTTTTGTGGCTCTGCCACTTAACAGCTGAAATACTTATGCTTCTCTGCCTACAAACCCATCAGGGCTCAGCCCAAGCTCACCAACCTGAGGAAGCTTTCTGTGGGAGAGACCCCGCGCTCTCTGCCACAAATGGAAGTACTTTTTACAGATGCTGATAACACTGATACAGTCCAACACTCTCTGGTCATTCTTTCCACTCTGATGTCACTTTTATACAGTATAACACTCTGGTCATTCTGTGACCACTGTTCGATTGTCAGTCATTATGACTCACAGGCTGTGAGCGAGCTGAGGACAGATACTTAGTTGACCATCCCTAGAACCTTGGTGTTCTTGGGATAGAACAGACACCCAAATATATGTGGAGTAAGCATATACACTGAAATAATTAAGTGTAAAAGGATCTACTATAACAGAATACAACAAAATACCAGATATCTTAGGAGATAATTAAGTTAAATATAAAGTCAGGATGTAAACAGACACATTCTAAAACACCTCCAAGTTCATAATACTTACTTCACTGCTTATTCCACAAATGAAATCCCTAGATTCATCATTACAGCCTTTGCCTTCAAAAGGAAAGGCTGAAGAAACATTACCAGGTTTAACATTTACTTGTATGTTAACATGACAATGTGAAAGATCTTTACTAAGCAAGGAAAATAACAGATTAAAATCTATCTATTTAAAAAAATGTGTTAAGTTCAAAGCCTCCTTCAAGCTCTAGAAAGCAATGAAGAACACAAAATTACAACCTGTGTAATTCCAGTAAGACTGATGCAGAAATCAGAAAGCTGTGTGTTCACCTCTGGTCTCACATACTGTTGAAACGTATCTTCCTGCAAGAGATTGACAGAAGGTTGAAGTACATTAGAGGACTTAAGACACATGATGCAAGACAAACTCAGTCACGCCAGGTTATAATTTTACAGGTGTTCCTAGCCTAGATCCTTCCAGAATTTTTAAAGGTAATTCCCCATACCTAAAGCACTCTAATTTTGAAATTAAAAAAAAAAAGTTTCAGATTTTAAAACATTCAGACCAAAATTTAAGTAAACATGTTGACAATTTCATTTGTATATTGTGAAACTAACTACAAAGCCTGTTAATACAAACCCAACTTCAACATACCAAGTAAAAACAGTAATAAATTCCTTTGTACCAATACCAGTCTTTATTATATAAATTAGCTCTAGACTGCTGTTCTTTATTTACTCTTGGATACTCATTATTCAACTGAACTAATTTAATGTCAAAATTTATATGACCAATGGTAGTTTTAAGGGCTGCAATGCTCCATTTCTGTACCAATTTTTAACATTGCCAAGATCTCCCACTGGGCTTCCTGTTTCACACTGTAAACTAAATGAGGTTGGCATCATCACCATCAGGCTCTCATGTTCAAGTGCCTCGCTCAGGAAGTCAGCCTAATAGTGACTTCTTTTGAAAAGAATCACTATTCAAAAACACAATAATTCTAAAGCTTAACGATTTAAAGGTTCATCTCAGGGAGACAGAGAAAAGGACCAAGCACATTTCTTAAGGCAAACACTTGCTTACATATAATTCTTTACACAGTTAAACTATTAAACAAATGAATTAAAGAGTAAAAGTAAAGAACATCAAATATTTGACCTTCAAAAATTAGACATTACCACAGTGCAAAAGAGTCATATTTAATTGGATGTTATGAAAAGTATATCCTTTTAAGTATCAGTATTTCATTTTATAATTTTACTTCTTTTTTAGGATAAGAAAATCTGAGCGAGAGAGTGTTGTATTTTAGTAACTTTAATTGCACTTTTCTTCTTCCTGTTTTTTGACTGGGAGATGCTGTGTCTTATTTTCATTTAAAAAAAAAAAAAACATAATGGTAAGACAGATACACATAGAGAAGGAAAGACAGACAGGAAGATCTTCCATATGCTGGTTTACTCCCTAAGTGGCCACAAAACTGGAACTAGGCCAATCCAAAGCCAGGAGCTTCTGAGTCTCCCACAAGGGTGCAGGGTGCCAAGGCTTTGGGCCATCCTTCACTGCTTTCCCAAGCCACAGGCAGGGAGCTGGATGGGAAGTGGAGCCCATATGGGATGCTGGCATGTGTAGGCTGAGGATTAGCCCACTGAGCTACTGTGCTGGTCCCCAATTTATAATTTCAAATCAAATCAAAATCTTCCATAAATATATTGCAACTGCCTTCAAAATAATACTGTCACTAAATTTATTTATTTTTAACAGAATAATGCTACAAAAACAAATATCCACTGAACAGATATTTACTTTTACATAAGTAAAATTAATTAGTAAATTAAAAGGTGATGAAGGTTACTGGAAATAAAGGAAAAGAAGAGCAGGTAAGAGGGATCAGAAGAGGGTATGTATAAACTCCAAGCAGGAGAATCAATTAGGTTTTAATCAAAGATAAAAAATAAGGACAGGACAGGAAGGAGAAAAGAAGAAAAAAGGGAAGGATGAGGAGAGGCAATAGAGGAAGGAAGAAGGTAGGACAGTGGGGAGAGGAAAGTTATTAGCCAGAAATATTTTAGGGGAAGGAAATCAAGTCCAGCGAAGTGACAGGACAGAGCATGCCCGTTGTAAGAATCTGCAAGCAGTTTAAGATGGCTGGAACAGAGTGAGGAAAGGAGAAGCGGAAGGGAAGCAATGAGAGGTAAGCCGTAGCCAGACTAGGTAAGAAATGCAGCCTTCTAGTGACATGTGGAGTCAGCACAGGGCTTTGGAAAGAGGTTGGAGATGATTTTTAAGGGATTATTCTGGCTGTAAGAAACAAAGGAACCTACAGGAACTGGTTTGGTGGGGAATAAAGTAAACAGAAGAAATGACCGAGTTTCAGTGAGGATTCAAAGCATGGTCAGAAGCAGGCGGGTTCTGGGTGTATCCGGAAGGCAGAGCCAAACTGACAGTCTGCAGGTTCAGCATGAGAGAAGCTGAGGATGAGCCCAAGATTGTTGAAGTAAGCAATTAGATTAGAATCAAAAAGAGCTGCCATTCCCCGAGAGAGGAGGATAACTCAAAAACAGGTTGGGGATACACATTCAAGCTGCAATGTCTTTTTAGGTGACTGAGTAGAAACATTAAATAAACAGCCTACATTTGGGATACAGGCCCAAGATGGGGACAAAGATATGTATTTGGAAGTCATCAGCACAAAAGGTTACTAAACACTAGCAAAGCAGTTATTGTTGTCCAGGGAGGAGTATACCCGTACAGAGAAGAGGAGCTAGGATTCCAGTGCAGGGCATCTATCAAGATGTTAGGAAGAGGAAACAGCAAAAGAAACTACAATGGCTGGAGAAAAGTCAGAAAGAACAAAGTACACTAGCTGTCACTGAAAGAAGCATTTCATGACAAAAGTCTAGTTAATTCTACCAAGAATTAAGCAAAATCAAGGAGTATGTTAACAATTTTTAGTGGAATCACAGGATTACAATGTACAACTTACACTTCACTTGAATGTTAACCCAAAGTGATGTGAACTTAAGATAATGGAAAGAAAGAAAAACAGAAACATAACTTACTTGAAGAACTTTTCTTTAAATAAGACAAAGAAATGAGGTAGCTGACCATGCAGTGAAATGAAGTGAACCCTCATGGTACAAAAAAATGTTTCTATTTGATTGGAACAACATATTAGAAGTGAACAATGACTATAGAGGTGAGAATTCATAAAGTAATGTCCTTTAGTAAGACAGATTTGAAATCCATTGACTTATGCAAGACTGCTTTTATAGCTGCCATCTCTCATCTCAATTTGTTGATCTTTTAACTGTTTTAGATGAATAAGCACAGGAATAGACTGATCAAAAATACAACTAAAAGGTTATGCTAATAGTCTAAGCTGTGCTAAAACTTATGCACATTTATGCCCAACGCCCTTTTCTAACTATTTCCAGCATATTGGTAGCAACTAGGCAATACTACGGAAATGACTTTGCATAGATGTAACAATATCGACCCAGATTTTTAAAGGCCAATATTTCCAAACAATGCATTAAACTATATAGTTTAGAACCCAATGTTATAAATTGTTTCTCCTGTAAAATTTTCCACTAGTCAGTTTTAGACTAAAAAATTACTTTCATAAATCATCATTCTTAAATAGAGATCAGAGTTCTTATTAGACCACAGGTAGTGGTGCTCCATTCAGACTACATACTAAGAACAACTGAGAGGCTAAAAAAAGGTTAATGTCAAGGATCCTATGCAGAATTGCTGAAGTAGAAACTCTGGTTCTAGGGCCAGGCAATAATTTATTTTTCTTTCACCTGCAAGATTCTGATGTCCACCAGAGGTTTTTAAGTAAGCAGAAGAAAATGTAATTTTCGCTTGTAGAAAAATGCCTATGGAAATTGCTTTATTAGGTTTGTTAAGCAGATAAAAAGTTCACAAGAGCAAAAAGCCCACTTTAGAATTCTAAATCTAGTGAAAACATCAAATGAGATCTCCACCTCACTTGTGAACACCAAGATAGTTGATGTTAAAGTAAACTTAAAATGCAACAATTCACTTACGATTTCTAAGGTCTGAGTGTTCAGTAAAACAACAGGAAATTCAATGATCTCATGTATGAACTCAGATGGGTTACCCTCTTCACAAGTGGCTTCAAAGTCAATAATACAGATGTAGTCATAGTAACTGTCGGCACAGTTGCTCTCTTTCAACATTAGCTTCTGCTTCTTGTAGTAGCTTTTCAGTCTCTTCTTTAGCACATCCTTTACGCCTCTAAGTAGAAGAATAACATTAATAGGTAAATTTTGCAATCAATAATCCTATTTCTTACCTGCTGGTTCTGGACAGTCACAGCATCATTTAGCAAACACTAAAGGAAACAAATTTTAAGAAAAGCAACACTCACAGCTAACTTAGCAAGGAACAAATTAAAATAAAAAAAAATCCTTGGGGATAGATGTTCACATCAGCGGTTAGGAATTCATTTAAAAAGCCCACAGCCCATACTGGAGTACTTGGGTTCAATTCTCAGCAATCAGCTCCTGCTCACATGTACCCCTGAGGTGGCAGGTGATGTTTAAGTAACTGGGTCCCTGCCGCCCACAAGGAGACCTGAATTGTGTTTCTGCTTCAGCCCCGAGCACTGTAGGCACTTGGAGAGTAAAACAGATGGATGGGGAGCTGTATGTGATCTCCAATTTCTTTTTTTAAAGATTTATTTTTATTATTTTTTCATTGGAAAGGCGGATATACAGAGAGGAGAGACAGAGAGGAAGATCTTCCATCCGATGATTCACTCCCCAAATGAGCGCAACAGCCGATACTATGCCAGTCCGAAGCCAGGAGCCTTTTCCCGGTCTCCCACGCAGGTGCAGGGTCCCAAAGCTTTGGGCCGTCCTCCACTGCTTTCCCAGGCCACAGGCAGGGAGCTGGAAGGGAAGCGGGGCCGACGGGATTAGAACCGGCGCCCATATGGGATCCCGGGCATGCAAGGCAAGGACCTTAACCACTGCGCCACCGCACCGGGCCCCGTGATCTCCAATTTTTTAAAAGTTTTAATACATCCACATTTTTCTTAAAAATATCTTATTTTAAAGCATAGAGAATTTTCTCCAATATATATGCTAGTATTTTAAACCATAAACCTTGTCAGGACATAACACCAACAGAGCCGTGTAACCTTATACGTTAAGATGATATATGAGATCTAAAAACTGAAACCAATATTGATTTATTCTATGGGCCAAACACAAATTCCAGAATATGAAAATGAGGTAAACTGAACACATTGCGCTACTTTTCCTTTCTGTTGACTTTCCTAATTTAGACAAGCCCTCAAACCTACATGAATATAAAAGTATTAGGAGCCTAACATATAAAGTTAGATGTTTATAAGCTACCAGATATTTTGTCAAAAAATTAAAAATCAAACCAGTACTCATTTCTTCAGTTCGTGGGCTGAAGACTGAACATATAAAACACTAAAAATAAAATTATCAAAATTATAAATATATGTGTGGCTTTTTAGTCACATTGTCAGTGACTTAAAATTTATTTATAATCTTTTGTTTTCCTTTCTAACCTACCAATGACATACTGAAAAGGAAACCTACCCATGAAAACATAATCAACCAGTTAGCTGTTTTAAATGTCTTCATATGTTTACTTGCTTCAGGAAAAAAATCTAAGTAGGAAAGCCTTAAATTCCCTTTCATATTAAGGCAATGTAAATGCTCTCTGTATTATGTGGCATGTTTTCATTACTTTTCTTTTGAAGGACTGTATTTACTAAAGGGTTGCCTGCAGAGCAAACGGCAACATGACTAGTAACTACTTGTTCAAAAGGAAGATCTGTCACCTTTAACAATTCCTTCATTCCTACAAATCTGAATTATCACCCTTTTTTTTGGCACTTTCAACTCAAAAATATTAAGACTCTGGTTCTCCTTAATTGTTTTTGCTCTGGCTCCTCTGAGCTTCTGGGACAATAGCAAATGCCTCCTCCAACACAACCCTCCAACTCACTCTTAGTTGTACTTGAGAATAAAGCACTAATACCAATTTCCGACTACTTATTTTTACTATTCAGCAGATCCCTCTGCTTACAAAGCAGTACCAAGTTCCTTTACAGCCTAGCTACAACCTATCACTTTATTATCATCCTCCAATGTTCCTATTCCCCCAATGCACACAGGTGCATCATACGTTATAGGAAAAAACCCACTGAGGTCATACATACGTGGTAAGCCTTCATGTTTCCTAACTATGGTTGTGCAACAGTTAAGGAAAGATCAAAATCACGGAGCAGAAAACATACAGAGAGAGATCTTCAAAGCCTGAGTTCTTGGGGACAGCACTGTGGTGAAGTGAGATAAGCCACAATCTTCGACAACAACATCCACACTGAGCACCAGTTTGAGTCTTTAGCTATTCTGCTTCAGAACTAGTTTCCTGCTAGAATGCCTGGGAAAGTAATGGAACATGGCTCAAGTGCATGGGATTCTGCATGGTGCATGAGAAATGGAGATGGCCTGGCTTCAACTGGCTCAGTCCTGGCCACTGTGGCCACCTGGGAGTGAACCAGGAGATAGGAATCTCCCTCTCTGCTTTTCAAATACAATGAATTATCTGTAAAACAAAAAAAGTTCCTAAGTTTTTTGGCCTAAAATACCCCTCTGCATTTTCAGTCTGGCAAAATTCAAATAGAACTTCCCTTTCCTCCCTCCTTTGTACTATTGTGCTGCACTTGGCCAGATTTCCAAGGCTGCACTGGCCACTCTACATCATGATTATCTGTAAAAGACTGAGGTTTCCAAAGTGAGGAATATATTTATCATTGCAACTTCAATGCCTAATGTAGTACACAGAAGTCAATACAGGCTTGTTGAATACATGTACACTCACACACTTAGATCTCTAGCTCCCATGCAAGCCAGTAAGCACCTGATCTTCAGAGTTGGGAAGGGCAAAAATTTGCACAGAGAATCTTCTGTGTATTGCAAGCTATACCTTTACAATACAAAGAAAGGCAGGAGAGGGCCCGGCATTATAGCCTAGCAGCTAAAGTCCTCGCCTTACATACCCTGGGATCCCATACAGGTGTCAGTTCTAATCCCGGCAGCTCCACTTCCCATCCAGCTCCCTGCTTGTGGCCTGGGAATGCAGCTGAGTATGGCCCAAAGCCTTGGGACCCTGCACCCAAATGGGAGACTCAGAAGAGGATCTGGACTCCTGGCTTCAGGTTGGCACAGCACCGGTTGTTGCAGTCACTTGGGAAGTGAATAATCAGATAGAGGATCTTTCTGTCTCTCCTCCTCTCTGTATATCTGACTTTCCAATAACAAAAATGAATAAATCTTTAAAACAAAAAAGGGGGGCAGGCAAAAGTGAGGTAAAGATTTTTCCCCAGGTTATAATGTAGACAATCTAGAATGGAAAATGAGCATGGGGAATGCTCTAAAAAAACTAAGCTTTCCTATACAGTCTGGCTGGCAGTCCTACTATTTATCAGAAATCTACATATATATTTTTCTGGGTTATAAAAGTCATTCCTGCTACAAGCCTAAGTTTAACAAATACTTTCTTTCACAAAAAATGGGCAAATTTCCTGGTTGTTTTTAACTTAGCTGATTTCTTTTTTTTTAAAGATTTATTTTTTTATTATTTTTTTCATTGGAAAGGCAGATATACAGAGAGGAGAGACAGAGAGGAAGATCTTCCCTCCGATGATTCACTCCCCAAGTGAGCGCAACGGGCCGATACTATGCCGATCTGAAGCCAGGAGCCTCTTCCGGGTCTCCCACGCGGGTGCAGGTTCCCAAAGCTTTGGGCTGTCCTCGACTGCTTTCCCAGGCCACAGGCAGGGAGCTGGAAGGGAAGCAGGGCTGCCGGGATTAGAACCGGCGCCCATATGGGATCCCGGGCGTGCAAGGCAAGGACCTTTAACCACTTGCGCCACCGCGCCGGGCCCAACTTAGCTGATTTCAAACGAACCCTCTGTCAAGAAATACAAATGGTCAAAGAACCCTTCAAAAATATTTAGTCTCATTAATAAGATACAAGTCCCCCAATATACTTACGATAGATACTCTTATATGTTGTTGGTAGGCCATTAAAATATTCACAGACTACAGCAACCCATCTACAGCAAACCATCTAAAAGGCTACACACAAAGATTAATATGCAAAAAGGCAAATGATCTCTTTACCATAAAAAACGGTAAACAGGTAACTTCAGTTTTTTTTACTGTTTTCCAGATTTTTCTAAGATGGACACACACTACTTTTCCACTTTAAAAAAGTTTTAATTACCTTGTTTCAAGCTTGAATTCTGAAAGTTTAGCTCTGAGTTCTTCCTTACTCATTCTATTAATACAACCATTCGTAATAGCAATTTCTTTGTAAACTGGGTCACTGAAATCACTTGCACTGGAGGTAATGATCTTAGATTCTTTTGTTTCTTGGCCATCAAATCTACTTCGTTGCTTTTTCTACAAAAAAAAGGGGGGGGGCGGGGGGGAGGAAGCAATACAGTTTATAATAGTGCAGACATTTAAACTGCTGAGGTCTCTTCTTGCCAGATGATAAAAGGTGCCCACTGCAGATACTAGAAGTACAGCATAGGAAGAAAGAGGTTTCCAATACAATAAAAAGGAGGGGGGGAGGAAGATGGAGGGAAGGAAGGAGAGAGAGAGAGAGAGAGGGAGAGCGCAAGCTTCCACCCACTACTAACATCCTGATACCCTAACATCCACAATAGCCAGGGCTGAGTCAGGGCCAAAGCCAAGAGTGAAGTACTCCGTGGCACTCTCCCAGGTGGTGGAGGGACACAGATATCTGAGCCATCCAGGGCTGCTTCCCAGGGTGTGCGGGAGCAGGAAGCTCAGGGAATGCAGGTGTGCAAAGCAGCAGCTGACCCACCACTCCCAACACCCTCCCCTTAATGAACTCTAAGCAAACACAGTCACAGGAATCCCTGTGGAACATAGTCCCAAGCCTGGAGTCCCCACTCCACTCCCAAAGCTTCAAGACCTTCAAACGGAAAGAGGCATATACACATTTCTCTTAATAATACATTAAAAAAAAAAAACTGCTTTGAAAGTTGAGTTACATGATGTTACTGATAAGATCTTGGGTTGGACTAAACAGGGAAGTGCTGTGGAGGCTCATTCTGTTTTTTTTTTTAAATAAAGGACATGGAAAGTCTCTTCGAAGGGAACTTGAGGAGAACTATCTAGACAAACTGTACAAAGGCTGGGAGGAAGCGTATTGCACAGAGCGGAAAGGAAGGCCAAGGGTAGGAACCCTGTGAGAGGCCATTAGCAACGGGGCAGCCAAGGGCCTTGGGAAGAGGGGTGAGCCAAAGGCGGGGTGCCCCGGGGAAGTGGGGAGAACCTGGGAGGAGCGCTCAATGCCTGCCTCTCACTTCCACAAGAAGCCCACGTTTGAGTAGGTAGCAGGAAGGGCAGGAGTGGCCGTAACATCGATGTTTACAACCCACAGCAAACACAATTTGTAAGTTGTCAGAGGACCGTTTTCTCAATTCACGTGATCCACCCGTGAGAGGCCAAAACACTTCAGAAACCCCGATGGTGCGTCTACAGAACCCGAGCGGACGCGCCAGCCGCTGGGTACCAGGGTTCCCCGCCGGCCCGTGGGAAGGGGGCGGGCCGCCTTGGGGGTGCACGTGCCGGGGTGGGCAGGCACAGGTCTGCGAGGTTTCCAACCCTGCCCTCCCAGGCTGTGGAGCCTGAGGTGAACACGGAACGCCCGGGGTAGAATTCCCACTCAGAACTGACCGAAAGCACCCCCGTTCTCTGCGCCCCAGGACAGCCCCCTCCCAACCTGGTCCAGGCTCCCGAGCCGGCGCCGGGGCCCCAAGCGGTGGACCAGGCTGTCGTTCCCGAGAAACCCCAGGTCAGAAAGGGGAACCGGAGCCCGGAGCTGCGGCGGGCGCGGCCGACTCCTCACCTCCAGGCTCCGAGGCGGCGGCTCTTGCCCGCTCTCCGGTCGCGGTCCGGCGGGACCCACGGCCTGGCTGCTGGGATCATCGCTCTGGGGGTCCTCCATGCCGGCGCCGGACACCCGCTCCAGCTCAGTCAGCCAAGCCCGAAAACGCCGCCTTTTCTCTCCGGATAAAAACGACGGCGTCCCGGTTCCCGCGGCCGCCACACAAACTCCCGCGGCCACCTCCCACTTCCGGGAGCGGGCGGCGTCCCCACGCCGCGCAGGCGCAGAGGGAGGGAGGCGGGAAGGCGGGAGAATGGCGGGCGTGGGCCGCGGGACGCTGAGGTGGCGCCTGCTGAGGGAACCGCGGAGGGGGCGACCAGCCTTCCTTGAATACGAGGAAGAAAAAGGACGTCGCATAAAGAAAGGTGCTTGCCCACCATAACAAATAGCATTCATAAAACTTCCTAGTTTCTGTAGTTTGGAACAAGAGGAAAACGGACCGGAGTTGGTGTTTTGTAGTAAGCTGTCAGAACATTAAACAAATGAACGGAACGTGAGTCAGGCTTTTCAGACCTCGCCAGCTGGCAGCTCTGGCTTGTTTTCGCTGAGGAGGAGCAAGGCTACCTCCACTGGTGCGGGGAAGAAGAGCTGACACCTCCAAAGCTGATAGGACAGATTGGACTTTGAGAGATTGGCCAAGTCCAAATTGGTGAGAATTGGGGTGCAGAATTCTGGAGAGGAGGAAGACTAATGGAAAAAGAGCCCCCGAAATATGCTTTGGGGGTACATTTGAATCTTTGAATAAGAATCAGCGTGTATGTTGTGTGAAACTACACAAGGTGGAGAAAAAGGTAATTGGTGGGGAACAGTGAGGCAGCTACCACAGACCACCGAGAACCATTAGCATTCTTGGGCAGGTTTGTTGAATACGGCAAACTGTAGTAGAGACCCCAGAAATGGGATGGCTCAATAGTGAGTAAACCAGCCCTTCACTGTAGAACCCGGAGTAAAAGCTGCAGGTATCTCTTTAGAGACTTAGCAACAAGCTCTGAAATGACAGAAGTGACCTGACTGGCACAACGTAATCTGATGCTCTGCAAAAGAGTGGGGCAAAACCCAGGATTCAACCTCAAGTCAAAATGGAAGGCATCCATTTAAAAATCAGCAGGTGTGCAGAGGTGTAGGAAGCTGTCTCAAGAAACACATACCGGGAAATGGGTACAGAAGTAGGATGGGCAGAAAAGGACATCAATCACTTTTTATAAATGTGTTCAATATGCTCTAAGTCTTACTGGGGGCATAAGAGAAAAATCTGGAGCAACAAATGGAATTTCTAAAGATAAAAAAATAGATATGAAATAAGAATGTTTCCACATGGAATTGATTGAACAATTAAATATCATGGGGATGGGGTGGGGAAGAGCCATAGAAACCATCCGAAATGACAGAGAAAAAGACTGTAAAGTGAATAAATACACCCTAAGAGACTCATGGGGCAGCACAAAGAAACTGGGTATACTGCAGCCCAAGAAGGGAGTGAGTCTGAACAAAAATTATGTGAAGACATAATAAACAAAAAATATTCTAAATGTGATGAAATTTATAAACTAGAGCTCTAAGAAGGTCAAAGAAATCCAAAAAACATTAATATCAAGAACGCTATACTAGGTCAGCAAGTAGTGATATTGATGGCAAACTGTAATAAAGCAGGAAGTAGCTAGGGCCAGCTGAGAGGGCAGTGAGAGGGGTAAACACCTTCCATAGAGTTTTCACTGGCTTCTCATTATAATAAACAAGCTCTTCAAATGATGAAATGCCAAGTTTAAAAAGCCCAAACTAAAATAAAATAAACAGATAAGCCCCAAGAACCCACATCTTGAGATAGAACCATCCCAGCAAAGAGGGCTCAGAAAATGACCCCAAAGTGTGGTCCTTGACATGCTGCATGCTGTGAACTGAAGTGAAAAAGGCTCACAAGCCAGATCTTTTGTGACCTAAATAGGACAAATCCAATTTTTTCTTCCCAGGTCACAGGGAGTAGAATCTTCTGTGTCCGTTTTTTCCCCAAAGGTAGCCTTAGAAACCTAGAAATAGTACTCTAACCTTCCCTCACCTAAATCACCTTGTCAGACACTAAGCCATGCATGAGACCTTTATTCCAGAAAGGATCCTGCAAGAAAGAAGGAATGCCATATAGAGAGGCCAAGAGCAATCTGAACAAACCTTACTGTTCCCTCACTGTCATCATTAGAGCATAATTTTTAGCCAATCATAATTCTACAGACTATTTTCATCAAACCTAGTCACAAAATGGACTTTTCCCTGTCTTCGCGTCTTCATTTCTAAAGTCATTCAAGTTTTTCTAAAGTTTTGAGTAAATAAATTTGTAATGTACTCTCCTGTAATCTGTCTTTGTCAATCTTTATCTCAGACCCAGCTGAGAACTCCAGGAGAATTGGGTAAAGTTTCTCATCTAAACAGCTAACCTGCAGATTTAGGAGGAAGAAAAATCAATGCTGACTGTGGTAAGGCAATGGGTGGTTTGTTAGTTATTACGGGATAGTTAAAGAATCGCTTTAAGTCACATAGCAATAGATGAGTATATACAATTTCCTTATAGAGAATGACATGATTGGAAATTTGCCACAAATGTTTCCTGATATTGCCTGTTTTTCTTAAATGGACTGTATTTTTCTTTCATAACTAGACTTTGTGTTTATAAAAATTATTAGACATGCAAATTATTAAGATTTCTAAGGAACAATTCTTGAATTAGCAGACTCTTTTTGCCAAGGATAGTTTTTATTCACGTTCTCTTCAGACAATTAGACTTTGATTCTCAACATAGATTTATGGAGAAGTGACTGAGAATTGCTTATTACGTCTCTTCTTTCCTAGAGGATAACTTTGGTTTTAAGACTCATGCCACATACTTGTTAATAAGCACTAGTTATTTACAAACTGTTGCATCTGAGCTTTTTGGGTTGCTACATGTACCTCCACTTTTAGATAAAGATGTGCTGCTAAGGATTTGCAGTAGCAGGTAAGGTGCTCATATCCAGTGTTAAAGTACATGGGTTTGACACTAGCTCTGCCTACTGACTCCAGTCTCCTGCTCATGCAGACCCTAGGAGGCAGTGGTGTTGGCTGACTTGGATTCCTGCCACCAGGTGGGAGACCTGGATTGAATTCCTGTCTCTTTCTCACCCCAGCCCCTCCCCACATCTCAAATAAATTAAAAGAGCTGATAGTCTACATTGAAAATAATGGGCGTAGGCATCAGGTACTGTTGTTTGCATCCACAGAAATGCTAAAATAAGCACTTGTTTATTCAGCAAGTATTTGTTGAACTGTTTGTGCCATGGACGAATGGTAAAAAAGTTCCAAAATTCTTTATATACAATCTTACATGCAATCCTCTAGATTTTCCAGTTATGTATCTGCAAATTCAACATGAGATAAAAAATATTAAAAGTTTCATCTGTGCTGAATATTTACAAATTTTTTCTAGTTATCATTCCTTTAAAAATACATTATAACAACTATTTAGATACAATTTGCATTGTATTAGGCACGATAAGTGAACCAGAGAGAATTTAAAGTACATCGGAGGTAATGTATGGATTATATGTATTATTTTATTCAAGGAACTTGAGCGTCCAGGAATTTTGGTACCAACGGGATGGGAGAGTGAATATCCTGAATTGCTGAAAGATAACTTTATAAAGAAGTGAATATAGACAGTAAACAAAAGAAGTGTTTAGCAAGTGAATTAACCTGTAACACTGAAAGGGAATGGGGCATCCTCAGGTTTGTAGGAAGTTTAAATAAAATTGCTATGGATGACCTCTATAATGCAAAGGCCTGAGGACATCAGGGCACAAGCTGTGAGAATGCCCAGGAGAAAGTTCAAGAGGAGCAAGCAAGAGGTGAGAAGGCCCTGAGCTGGGAACATGCTTGAAACGTTTGAGAGATACCACGGTGTCCGTTCTTTCCTGTGACTGTGGTGTCAGTAGCCTAAATGGTGAAGTATTGACTGAAGCAACTGAAGGAAAAAACCCAACGACACCAGCACCTCTTGCCTAGGAGAACATGCACCATAGTTGGATGATTAAAGGGAAAAGCATCCTTGAGTGCCTCAGCTATGGCACAGCCTACCAGAGAAGTTTTAGAATTGGTTGTTCTCTGATTCTCCAGTGAAAAAAAACATGTCTACTTTTTACCTATTTACAAACATAGGGACTCACTGTTCCTTTTCGGGGGAACATAACTTGGACCACAGTCTTATTATGATACTTGCATTCTGTTTTGGAGTTGTAATTTTATATGTGATTTAGCTCCTGTCTCACATTTTGATGTCCTTTCTCACCAGGTTGGTTTTGCAGGTATCTTAAACCGCTTTTCCTACCCAAGTCCCATTATAATAAATAATAAATATATAAATGATAAATTATAGTATAAATATAATAAGTGAATCTCACCAGACAACCTCACAGCTTTTGAAAAACAACTAGCGTAGCTTTCTAGTATGTAATTTGACTTGCTTACACCTGATCTCATCTTTGTTTAAACATGTTACGTTTATCATGGGCTTTTTACCTTAACCCTGATTTTACTGGGAGATAAACTAAAATGCTATTTAATGATTTGAGGTACATCCTTAACTTTGGTGCCCAAGAAGAGTACCTCCCCTTCTCCTGGCATCTTCATTTTCTTCGCCAAACATTAACATCTGTTCTCTGAATGCCCTCCACTGTCTCAGGAATCTTTAATCTATATCACTCAGTATCTTTTCTGTGTCTTCAGTCTTTGCATTGATACTGGACTTTCCCCTTTGATTTATTGGCTTTTACACAAATGTTACAGCTTAAAAAACAAAAAACAAATAACCAAAACAAGCCAAACAAAACACTTCCCTGAACCTCAGAATCTCTACAGCTCCTGAACTCTCAAACCTGAAGAAAAAAACACTGCCTATTTTTGCACACAGCCAACTGCTACACAACCTGCCCTAATGTGATTCCATTTCTATAGTCCATTGGTTTTACTTCTCCATCAAAGTCACCATTTATCTCCACATCGCTGTCCCAGTGGGCTTTTATCAGAGGTCGTCCTGTCTGACCTTTCAGCAGCATTCAACACTGTTGGCTGTACTTTTAATGATGTTCTGCTCGCATGGTCTCTATAGCAACACCGGGCTTTCTTCCTTTCTCTTTGGC